TTTTTTTTTTTTTTTTTTTTTACTTTTATATTCTATCTCAGGCAACTGGCCTCAATTTTGATGTGTACCAGATTTTTTTTTTTTTTTTTGACAGTTTTGAAATCTTCACAGACTTATTTTGATGTCTAACTCACCCTGATTTATCTAACCAATTGTTTTATTTTCAATCCTAGGCAACAACTCTTGAAGTTCGATGTCCACGCGTGGAATGTCCCCCTCTTGTTTGCGAAGAAAAAGCTGCGATTCGACCAGATAAGAAAGCATGTTGTAAGGTGTGCCCTACTAATCTGTCGACAACCAAATCTCCAATCCTCTCAGAAGCTGCATCGGAAGAAAAAATACCCCAGCAGAGATTAGACACTGATGTGATAGCTGCGGGCGGTTGCAAGTATCCAGTCGGTGGCCCATACGAAAATGGCGCAGAATGGCATCCTCGTGTCTATTCCCATGGTGAAGTTAAATGCGTCAAGTGTCGATGCAAAGTAAGTATTATTTATCAAAATTTCAAATAGAAGACTCTTCATATTTAAATAATAAAATGAAAATAAATATTGACAATACTGTAAAAATCAAAAAAGACTTTAAGGATATTTAATGCGAGCTGACCAAAAACTTTTTTAGGTTGTAGCATCTGAAAAAAAATACCATCTACCAGTTATGAAAATATCACAACAAAGGTATGTGTAATGAATTTCTGTAGTTGGAAGTTACCTCTACCGATGGTTTTAAAATCTTCTTTCCTGATCGCTCATATTTACTTAAAAGAAATTTCAAATTTGCTGTCACAAGGAGAACGCCCTTAAATTTCTTTTTTCTTTTTAGGATGGAAAAGTGAAGTGCGAACGGAAAAGATGTGGCAGGTGGTCTTGTAATGATGAGTGCTGCGCATCCAAGTGTCAAAAACGAAGAAGGAGAGAGTCAAAAATCCGGGAGGCTAGGCTCAGAAGTTCTCGGCGGAATTTGTCACCATTTTAGATGCTTCCAGGGATCTTTTGGATTTGATTGAATGTAAGCTTGAATGCAGTAACAAGTCAACCAGTTGTTAATGGAGTATCCTTAAATTTTCCCATCACTGGCAAGTCCATCTCCAACCTCAAAACTGCAAAATTTAGCCCAACAATCAATCAACAGGAAACATTTTTGGTGTTTTACTGTTTCATTTTGACCTTGAACAACAGTTCCTTATTGTAAGTTCTTCTGTCTTCCGACACTACATCGTATTTGACAGATAGAGCTTGTCAGATAAGGCCATACACTTTTCAGTTACACGGTTAGTTGCAGTTGGCTAACTTAAATAACATTTTTAATAACATAAAGTTTCTTTGAAGCCAACTAATAGAGATCTGGCAATTGTGAGGGCACTGTACCCTTACGATGTGAAAATGTGTTGCAGAGAGTAGTGTTACTATGATTTTACTGACCTACGAGCATAAACTATCAAAACTTGATTCTGCGACAGGTGCATCTGACCCATCAGCTGAAGATTGTGGCAGGTTGTGGCAGTACATATTGTTAGTTACTGTTCCAATCACTCACTGTTTGTTTGACCAGTAAAGTATTATGAGTTCCGTCCAATGTTACAGAAATTTTTCTATGTAGTCAACATTACACATAAAGATCCACTGTTGCATGAAAGTTTTAGGGATTTTTCTTCGTGGCCTGATTCTCTAAAATTTTCTGGATTTGTACCAAAACTTTTTTACATTTAGAAAAGATTTCAGTGCTGGTACTTTTTTAAACTAATTTAACCAGATAGTCTACACTGTGGTCCTCCGAAAATATCTCTACTTATAGGTTTAAGATAGATGTAGCTTATCACAGCCATCTGTAAACTCCAAAAGTTGCAAAATCAGCCTTCGCTTTCCTGATATAGACCTAGGTTTTATCTTGGACTCTCCTCCTGGCATGAAACTCTCTGAAAAGGTTTCACCTGAAATTAATAGTGGAGCTAGTCACAGTTCATTTTTTAATTATATTGAAAACTTTGTTTTCCTTGGTACCTGTAGGGAGCTAGATATAAATTGGGTACTTGCAGCCTCATACGTATTATTGAGAACAGTAGAACTCTCCCACCAGCCAATGAGAGCCGTGGGTTATGGACTAGTACTGACCGTTGTGCAGAGCATCTCATGAGCATACAAACCTTGTAGTTGTTTCTGTGCTAGACATCCGATACCTTTACTTCCACCGTATTTTTATCATCAACAGGAAAGAATCTTCACTCAGTTGAAGTTCTTTAAACGCAAGTTGCATCTACAAATTCACAATTTCGTCCGTCACTTCATATTTTAACTCTCATTTTTAAAAAAAATGATTTCTTCGTAAGAATACACAGAGATTTAAATTCCAGCTAGGAATGATCAGTTCTTGGCTGTATCATGCAAGTATCCACTTCATGTCTGCACTTCTAGGCACATAAAGGTGATATCTTGGACCAATAGCAATTTAAAATCGCTCGTATTTTTATACAAAAATTCGGAAACTTTTGCTTATTGTTCCCTTGTGTTGGTTTCTGTGAACTATTCTTATGTAATCCAGTAATATAGTTTTCATCCATAAAAAATATTTTACCCTGTCGAATTCAATGTTTATCATTTTTATAAATTTTGTTTCGCAGAAATGGGTCATTTTTGTACTCTTTAATCAATTTAATTTTAATTTTTAGGATTTTTTGTTTTCTTTGTTAGTTATGAAGAGCCACTCTCTTTTTTTATTTACAGAACAAAATATCAATGTTTTTAAAATTTGCAGGGTCAAAAATTGTTCCAAAAAAAAAAAATAATTATGCGTTTCATTATTTTATTTTATTTTCATTATTTTTTTTTTTTAAACTTGAAAGAGGGTACACTTCCGGTCACAAGTATTACTGACGGGCCACAGGCCATATTTTATTATTATTATTATGATGTGCTGCAATGTTAAATGTGACATTTTTTTTTTCTTAGACGTGTTGTCTAAGTTTATTTTAGAGCCCCTTGCAAAGAATAAAATTTTCTTATATTTTTTTTTCTTTTCTTTTCTACTGTTACTAATGGTGCTAAATCGGTAAATTAGATAGTTAATATTGTTCATTTTTAAAGTTGCCTAAGTTAGTTGTTTATGTTATGAAAATTTCGACATTATATGTGTTTAGCTTTGAGGAGAGAAATGAATTTATTATATACTCTTCACAACGACTGTTAATTTTAGTATTTTTTATTAAAGCTTAAGTGGCATGGGGAAAAGCAACAAATGAAAAATTTAAATGTGATTCGTCTTGAAACCATTAATAAATTAATATTAATGGCTTTGTTATGAGCTTTTTTCTCAGCTTTAAATTTACTTTTAATTCAGTAGCGTAACTAAGTACTTATCAATTTGATCGTACCTATTTGATTGTAGACTTTTTGTATTTAATGTCTTCCAAAATTATTTGTTTGTACATAAATATTAACTACTGACTAATTAGATGTCTCATTTTCTTCTTACGATTATAATTTTAATCTTTAAAATTTCAAATATTTACCGTTTCTCTTTATCTCACCACTGTTCACCATGAGTGTCAATATCAGTACTCTGTAAAGTAATTATACCTCTTTTAAGTGTGATCAGAGTAGCGAGACAAATCTTTTTACCAGGTTTCACTAGCAGTGACACTCTTGAGTGTTTTTTACTGTGCTTCACTTAGTCTGAGAGGGAATATCTTTTGGTTTGAAAAACAAAAAGAAAAACAGTGTATGTGAAAGAAACTGTACTTGTTCCTTCTGTGATCGATGGATTTCGATGTTTTCATAGGTTTATGTTTGGCAAAAGAATTTGTGACTCTTTATATCCTATCATAAGTATTTGTCAAAATGATTGATTATTTTTCTAATTTTTTAAATTTATCTACCTTATTTATTTTATACAGTTTTTTAACTGCTATCAAGTGATGGCTAAACTTATAATGTAAGCTTTATTAGTTGGAAAGAGGCTGATTTGGTTCGTTTTGTAAATTTTGAGTATACATATTGTTAGATAGTACTTAAATCTATTTATAATTAAAGTGTTTCTTATTCTGATGTATCAGAAGGAAGCTATATGAGGAAATATTTTAAAAATAGCTAACATACAAATATTGCTATGCCTCCCAATATACAGGTGTCTAAGAACATAAGTGCAAATTATAACTTTTATGAAGACTATCAGCTGAATTGAAACGGTTGTCCTCTAGGATGTGATTATTTTTTTAAAATTTTAGAGTATCTATTGTGACTATGACATGCGATAGTATTATTAATGATAAATGATTAAATATAATTAATGCATCAGAAGTAAGTCTGCTTCAAGAGGTGAACTGAGGTGAACTCTGAGGTCGCTCCGAATTTTGAACATATTTACTTTGTTGGATCAAGCAAGTTTGGTTGAGCAACTTGTTTTGAGCTGAAAGAGGTGTCTTTGATGTTTGATTTTTGGTAAATATCTGCAGATAAGCTTATCAATTTCCAGAACGGAAGTCATATCTTATCCGCTCCAATGAACAACAAGTTCTGTCAACATTACCTTTAAATTAAACTAAAAATTGCTTGAGCAATATCCTAATTCAAATTTGGCCACAGGATCAAATTTTTTTCTGCAGTCATCTAACTCACTTATAAATCCTGAACAGTGGAAACCATTAATCGGTCATCCTCAAACGCAGAGCAACAAACTACGAGGCTGTTCAAGGATAAAGGTTAGTTTCCAACGAAATTTGGGCCAAGAATGTCACTTCTTTATGCAGGCAAACTACAGTCTAAATAAATAAATAGAGATTCAAATGTAACAGCAAAGAACTCAGCATTAGTGTGCATTCAAAATCCTCTGTCTTCACTTGTAACAGCTCATAAGATCAAATGGAGTATAAGCTATGCCAAAGAAAAGGATTAAAGGAATGTCTGTAGAACATTGAGTCATAGTTAATTTACTCTTTTGAATTCTTACAGTAGCAATTAAGAGGCATTTGTATTCCTTTTAATCAAATTTCCTTTTGCACAATTTTTAGCGTATCAGGCACTGATGAGCAACTTCTAGACTTCCAGTGACTCAGTTGGGCATGTTCTCTTTTTAATGCACTACCTTTCAGAAATGTCCACAGTTTTCAAGTCAATTTAAGACTTATATTTTACATTTTTATAAGAATTTATTTAATTTTTTGAATTTTAATACGCTTACGTTTTCCTCTCATTCACCATCTCTGCCTTCTTTGTTTTTCATACTGACATTTTTGTGTTAAATGTAAATATTTGGTAAAATTTATTGTAATATACATTTTGTTATTATACGTTGTTAATTGAGTTTAATTTTTTTGCTCCTCTTTTCTTTGTCTTGTGCTTTCTCAAGGATCATTCAGTCTTGTTGTGTATCTGAGACAAATTCTGACTGACCAGTGACAGGTACGCAATTACAAGTGGATTATATCAGCAACTATTTCTCAGAAGTTGTTGTCTTTGATGATATGTGATCTAAAAATTTAGCATATTTTGCCATATTTATACATTAGGTTGCAAATTCAATGTCACTTCTCGACTTAGATGAAAGTTACATGAGTAACATTCTAGACTCAAGCTGTCCAACAAGTCTAAGCAACCCAATAATAATCCTCCGTGGTAGGCATACTTGCTGTCACCCACAACAGAGGTTCCAGTATATGTTGGGCAACTAAAATGAATAATGCAGCTCCCAGTCCTATGCGAAAAGTCGCAAAGTTAACTTTTCAAATTTTCTGAGCTTTGACAAGCTCTGCATCAATGGTGAAAGTTGCAAAACGCCTACCTACGTTCGCAACGTTGCAGATTTCTTGCCTTGTATTATTTTAAAAATCAACTCACATTATTTCTTGGATTTTCTAATAATTGATCTTCTTCCTACGTATACTATTTGTTGAAATTTTGAACGCTGATACTCATTGGTTTTCCTTTGAAATAATAAAACAACAGCGGGGACTTTGAAACATCTCAATTGGAATACATGTTTTGCAACTTTCACCATTGCTAGGCCTCATTGTAGGGATTTTAGGGCCTCAATAAACAAACAAATTCCGATAAAACTGGACCATTTGATGACTGTTCTGCCGTGCTAAGGAAGAACGCCATATGAACCTTTAGGCGTTATCTAATTTCCTTTGTTAAAAAACGAATTTAATGGAAAAATAGTGAATATTTTTCTTCAAATTGTTCAGACAATTTTGTTCGCAATTTGATCTGAAATGTCTGAAAGTTTCAAAGAAAATTATGCATAACTTTCCTCAAAAATTCATGTTTTATCCGGGGAAATTTGGCAACTCTCAAATGTTCATACGGCGTTCTTCCTCGGCACAGCAGTGTTAATCACCATGCCGCAATCTTCTTAGAAAAATGAGGCAAACGATCATTTTTTGCTGGGCAGAAAATTTCTGCAAAGTTTTCACTTGAAAATGATGCTAGGTAACGATTTAATGACTGATGACTCCCGACACTTAGATGAGAATTGGTTCCGAAATTTGATCGCCCATCAATGCCTCTCATTAACCATCATATCCACTGTACTACATGAAAAAATTAGCTGAAATTGGAATTGGATAGCATCCATGTTTTGCCAACATTTCACACAAAAATAAGAAAGCATCATTCCATGGTTTGACCGGTATATTTAACAGAGACATATACAAAAATCTACGAAAGAATTTTCCATTCAGTCCAAATAAGAAATTCTTTAACATGCCGCATTTCAAAAAAAGAATTGGTTGAATGAATGAATCTTAATACAGGTTCAGATGGTTTTGATCTAAAAGTATGCTTACAGCTGCAAAGCTAAACTTACTTTCATTACGAAAAAGCTAAATTAGAAAGCTGTAATTTTAGGGTGCAAAATTAAGAAAACGGCTTATATACAGCATTAGCATTGTTAATGTGCTCTTCGATTTTTTTGAGCAATTTCTCTTGGCATGAAGACTAAGAAAAGAGACCTTGAATGTGACTGTTTGTTTCATGATTCAGATACAAAATAGAAGGGCCCAGCTTCGAAAACAGTTGGTTGAAACTTTCCTAGATCTACATCAATTTTAACCATTACTTGCTTCAATTGTTCAAAGCATATCCAACTTCATTAAAAAAGGATTGATCTTATACTTCGAAAATTACAGTTTCTATCCTCTAAAAAGAATTTTAAATGGTGAGGATGTCTGCCTTTGATCCTAGATGCGTTACGTCTGACAAGTTTTAATTGAAATATAGGTCACTAGAGAGAATGGACACCTATAAAAAACAATAGCTAAAAGCTTGACTTAAGCAATTTCTTTTTGAAATTTGTTGCCGTAATAAAGAGACTTCCACTTTACGGCTGTTTGTCCTTTCTGAGTAAAAGCAATCACAAAACTATCGACATAAGAGCAAAAATAATACGCACTTATATGATCCATGGTCTGTCTTTCTTAGTGCTTGAAAGATGAATAATACTTTCATTTGAAAAAGGCAAAGGTATGAAAGATAAAGAATAGTACTGTTGATAAGTGGAAACAAACCAAACCGAGAAAATTTTCAGCTTTGGAGATGTTGGATGAGATTTCTTAGAACCAGAGAGAAAAACTAGCCTTCGGTGGCCGAATTTAGTCGGTTTTTCGACTGTACTAAAATATACTTAAGATGAGTCTAGACTGCATTTAAGTCCGGCTTAGCGCTTCCGATTGGCCAGTGGTGCGGTTTGGACTCATTGATGGGTGCTGCACCTCCTTGGGAAAGAGCCGACAAAATTCAGCCCCAGATTAGGATATTTGAAAAGAAGTACTGATAAAAAAAACTGTGCATACTGTTAAATGCAACATTGTTTTGGATCAACAAATCTTTTGACTAAATTTAATGTATATTATGTTTCAATTACAAAATTGTACAAAATTCTGAGGCATTCCTAAGTCCAATGATTCAAATCAAGTCTGCATTGAATTTAAGTGTAACTGGAGGAAGAATGCTAGATATTCAATATAAATATGTCTGATTTAAATGCATGAGCTTTCCTATTTAAACCGGTATTAAAAATACCAAAAGACTTAAAAAAGTATATAAATGGAGGCACTTAAGAAAGGTAAAATCGCCTTCTTTGCCACTTGAAAGTTAGGAATATGTACACTTTTAAAACAAAAATTCAATAAAAATACTCACTAGTTCACGTAATAACGAAATCTAATAAACAGTAATGGGCCGGATTCATTACGTAGGCAAACTAAGCGTGCGCCTCGGTCACCCCCCTCCCCATTTGAGATTGAATTAGTGGAACGTTATTGCTAAATCTCACTTGTTGTGAAGGAGCGTATCAAGATTACAAATATATTCTTGGCCTTTTTTCTGGCAGTATTTTTGCTGTTCATTAAAACAACCTATGTTGCATTCATGATTACTTTTGGAATTTTAGGTCTTCTTTCCATACAGCTAATTTCCTCCTAATTTCAACTTAAAATTTAATGATTTTAAGAATGGGCCGAAAGAATTATTTTTCGGTAACCAAAGGTTTGTCATGAGGCATTTTTCGGCCTGAATTTTCTCTTCTTCTTGCATTACATATTCCAAAAAAGTCCTCAAATTGTGTTTACGAGGGGTTGAAATTTCAACTTTATCTAAAAAAGCTCTTTTGGCACCTTTTCTACAGGGGAAGATTACTGTCAAATCCCTCCAAGGGGAGATGCATATTCAGGGGGCTCACACCACAGACTGCAGCATAGGGCACAATGATCATAAATCCAGCCCTAAACAGAAATTAATCATTGACAGAGATCGTGCTTTCTTCATAAGCTGTGGAATTTCCTGTTTCTACAAAAGGAAAAAATTTTTATATTCTCCAACTCTTTTGACCCAGTTTGCCTTTAAATCGAACTTCTGATAACAATATAAAACAACATTTACAGAAAAATAATAATAATCAAGAGGGAAGAAAAAAAAAATTAAAAAACTATGAATGGAGGACTATGTAAGTCAGAAGTAACCATTTTGAAGTATTCATTTGCGCAACAAACCTGATCTATTTACAACATTTTAACTCCTAGAGAACGAAGAAGAAATTGGGAGTAGAGGGCTGTACATACAAAATAGTTTGAGAACGCAAAATAAATTGAAGAAATTTGCACGTCACTTCCATCAAGCAGTTTTACTTTACTTTTTGGAGAGTTCGTTTGACAGCCAATCTAATCCTTCGTATAACCCGTGTCCTTGGGTGGCGCACGTGGCCTGGATATACCACTGAAACAGGGGTAGGAAGAAAAGTTAAAGAAATAGAGGAACAAAGACAAAAAAAAAAAAAAAAAATAATATGGAAGTCACCTGCCTAAATTAGGCCTCTTGAACCTTCTTTTCATGAGTACATACCTTCAAAATGGGGTACAAGGGCTGTTTAAAAAACTAAGAGTGAATCTGTAGCGAAAAGTTTCTCACGCTTGAAAGTAAAAAGATAGAGGCCATGAAAGGCTTCATAAGATTCATTGGTTGGTGAATGAAACCATACTAAGTTTGCATGGTTAAGAACTCTTCTTTTTTTACTTTTTCTTACTTTTCAATGACACTGATCAACACAGATCGGTTTGAAAAAAAAGTTATGAATCATCAATGGGAAATTTTTAGCACTGGTTTTGAAAATTACCTCAATTTTACTAGATTGTTTTGCATAGAAAAATCATCAGACATTGCGAATATACATTATCGTCCGTTCTATATTTTTTTCGAACTGTGATCTGCCAAAACCAGTAAAATTTCGCGAAAATTTGTAAAGAGCGCAAGCCCAAGACATTGGACTAAAATTCTAGAAAATGGGCATTTTTTCTCACTAAAAGGCATCTATTCCCTCTACCTATCTTAGGATTTCGAAAATTTTTGACAAAAGCAACTTCTTGGGGAACTTAGACCATGTTTTCTCAAAACTTGATTTTCTGATTTTCTAATCCGTCAGTTCGAGAATGACCAATCTCATTTATTTCTTCCAAAGTCCCTTCCTAACACCAACAGAGTTTTAGATTTTGCACTCTCCCAAAAGGGCTTTCAAGATGCTAAAAAGTGTTTAAGATAGAAAAAATGGAGATAAGAGTAGTCTTAGATCAAAGGAGAGAGTTAGAAAGAACTTTTCGGAGGAAAAAGATGGGTAATTTTTGAAGTAACAAATTCAACTAGGAGTGTTTTTTCTGGACATATGTATTGGATTTGAACTGAGTATTTTATATTATTTTTGTTGTTGTTGAAAGAGGAGAGCATAATATTTATGTAAAAAATAAATGTTGCCTTTCTGTAATGGATAATCATTTTAAAAGTAGTTTTTTCTTAGCATTCAGTTAATATCAAAGGGTTCAGATCAAATATTAGAATACTGAAATCGTTCTCAAATCTTTCAACGGTTAAACAGCTCATTTGCAGAAGAGCATGACGTTAGGAGATCTCATGTGGTAGAGAATAAGTGAAGAACATGATGTTGGGAAATCTCACATGGTAGAGAATAAGTTAATTGATAGTGATTATTTTATCTTGATAAAATAAATAAGTATGTGCTGGATGCTAAGAGGGTTTACTTACACGTCTACTTCTTAATTGACTTAATCCCAATAATTCTGTTAGTTCAGATGCATTCATAGCATTAGGAAGATCTTGTTTGTTGGCGAAAACTAGGAGCACAGCATCCCTGAGTTCATCTTCTTGCAACTGGAGAGAATAAAAAGTTAAGGAGCCAATTTTAAAAAATTTGAAAAATGAGAGAAAAAGCTAAGAAGCAAATTTGAGAATGAAAATGTTTCCTATCATCAGATTTTTCGAAAACTTCCTGAAAATTTACTTCCCACAGATACGGGAATTTCTGACTATTCCCTTATAAGTTTGCACAGCTCATTTTATTAATATGGACTAAATCAGATTTCTAATGAGTTAAAAGACTACATGAGTGGTATATTTTATAACTTCTTATGACCTAAAATTGTATTGGATGTATTTCGATGATCACACTGCCCAACATCATGAGCTTTGCGAGCACTAGTGATGATGAGTGATGGGACCATCAAAACAGGTACAGCAAAATTTAAAGTAAAGGAAGGCGAGGGTGTTAACAGTAGGCAACTTACCCAATCAATGCAGATCTGTTTTAAGGTTTATAATTTTAGCCTTATTTATTATCAAGAGGACCACTGCCCTATATCATTATCGTTCGAACAATTAGAGGTTCTGCATGCACTGTAAATTTTCCCTGATGCAATGAGTTCAAAAAGGAATTTTAAAATTTTAAAATTTATTAGGTCAAGGCACCTCTTTATCAATCTGGAAGCAATTACTAAACATGTTGCTCCTTGGATTACGCAATTTAAATTAGAGAGCGTTTGAATAGAAGGAATCAACTTCTATTCTTTTGACTGTTCTGCATTTAAAATAGCATTACTCAACTTATGATTTTCTTGTAGAAAAAGGCGACTTTGTGAGCATGCCCATACACTGGGTTCCTTCGTAATAAACGCTGTCCCAACATAATAATTCTTTCTTACCATGTTGTGCAGCTCATTTGAAGCCTCCGTTATTCTTTCTCTATCATTTGAGTCCACAACAAAAATCAGTCCTTCAGTATTCTGAAAATAATGTCTCCACAGGGGCCGAATTCGATCCTGACCACCGACATCCCACACAGTGAAAGAAATATTTTTGTATTCAACGGTTTCGACATTGAATCCTGTAAAAACAACCAAAACCGATCATTTTTGAAAAATTGAACTGAAATAAAAACTTGAGTATTAATTGAGAGTTAGTAGAATATTTCAGAATTTACCGCCGGTTGGTTTCAGATGAATTTAACATATTTTTTGAAATATGAATGGCCAAAATTTGACACAACGTATCTCCAAAATGCCTCCTTTTTGGAAGAGCAAAAAAACAGTTTATCCTTTCTTTTTAGATAAAAGGGTCCAAATTCAACTCTTTTATAACTTAAAATGAAATACTAAGAAACCAACAGGAACATCAGTGGAAAAATCAACTTTTAAGATGTATGTTTTGGCGCCACATTCCATCCAGAAATATGTTCTATTAGCAGTAGCAACAGTCATAGGTCAATTGTAACAGTTCTCTCTAGCCGTTTGGGAACTAATATTTCATCATCATTTCCAGTTGTAATTGTGTAAGGAAGGTTTTTGCATTCCAGTGTTTGAAACTCACCTTTGAGTTTCCGGAGCCATGTGGCGCATTAAGCTTGATTTTTTAGGGGCCAAATCGACTTGATTCCGATATATCACGGCACATTTAGTGAAAAGTTAGACACAAGATGTTTTAGTTACAGAACTGGTAATTGTAACTTGGGGAGAAATTTCGAAAAATGGCCAAATTGGCCCAGCGCATTTATTTTTTAGGCGCCATGGCCGATTTCTTAGGCGCATTTGGCGCCTGTGAGTTTTGAACACTGGATGAAATACTGCGTTAACCACTTTCTTACAAGCAAATTAAAAGGAGTTCAAACCGTAATACCAGTTATTAAGCCACGTTGTAGGTGTTCTATTATAATCCTTATTAATCCTGTGGGTTTTGAGCAGTGATATTATATGAGAAAATGTACAGGAGCTTCTGTTTCACAATGTCAATAATTTAAAATCTCTTTTTTTGAAATTCTGGTATCACACTTCAGCTATGGATGTATAATCTCAAATAGAATTGAGAGAGTCGTTACCAGGTGCAGGGGCTGTAAGATGCTTTGACTTGATAGATTAAAATTAAACTGAAAACTTGCAATGCGTATTTAAGCTTCAGGAAAAATCAATTCAGCTTCTAAAAATGGTGAACAATTTTTAAAATTCGTTTGACTTAACAGAGCAATTTCTGGAATTTTGAAGTAAAATAAAATCAATTAAAGAAAGTAAAAAATTAAAAATTTAAGCATGGCAATCTCACCAATTGTAGGGATAGTTGTGACTATCTCGCCTAACTTGAGTTTATACAAGATTGTTGTTTTACCAGCTGAGTCCAATCCAACTGAAAAACAGAGAGAGAGAGGGAGAGAAATTAACTTCATGCAATAGAAATGGACGTGGAATAATTATTAATTGTGGAAAACTGAAATTATTGCCCTCCCCCATTGCTCCGAGTCATTTCAATTCAATTCCTGACTCGAAAATTGTGCAGGTTGAAGCAAAGTAGCTACTTAGAATTCAGCATACTTTAAAATACTTCATTAGGAAAGTTGAAATTGTGACAAGGAGCAAAACCATGAAGCTCAGATTCACCTTCTTTCCAATTCACTGATGGCTGCAGTCCACTAAGTGTAAACACTGTTTTTCTGAGGTTACTGCTGGTAAGAATTAAATTAGGCTTAATTTAAATGTGCTATGACCTACACATCTTTGGCGGATATTACTATACGTTCAATCGTAATTTTGACGTTGAACATATCAAATTAAGAACTAGTCATGAGAAGTTCCACATCATATAACCTCAATGTCTGGCTGTTTTGATTACACGAAAATATCTCAAGAGGTGATATATTTCATGACTAACTAGAGTTCTTTCTAAGACATTGGCTGGAAAATTTGACAGCAAGATGGTGATAAACCAATTTTCCACTTAATTTCGTCAACAAAGTGGATAAAATGATAACAGTTGGAAGATATTTTGATAGGTACCTACAGTGAGGTTACGAACTTGGTCGATAGAGAATCGGTAAGTTGATTCAGTTTAGAGCAAAGCAAAACGGTCGAAGTTGATTCGTACAGTGTGCAAAGTTGCAGTGAAAGCAAACCTTGAGAAGTTGTTTATCATAAGAGATAAGTATTGGCATTATTTATCCTTTCCTTAGAAGGATGATCGACAATTCTACTCGATCATGAATATTTGATGCAACAGCCTGTGATGGAGGACACTTCTGAGAAACTGCTTTAATCTTCTCATTAGAAAAGAGATATTTTGAGAAAATTTGAAAACAGTTTCAACAATATGTGAATTCAAAGTTTCTTAGAACGTAAAAGAAGCTGCAATCCGAAATCCGGTGCGTTGAACAAAAGATACAAACCCATCAGGATCCTCATCTGCTTCTTGCCGAAAAGACGTGTCAAGAGACTGGAAATTGTTAGCCCCATTTTGGAAATTTCAGCTCTTTGATAATTTGAGACTCGTCGCTAACTAAGATCCCTGAAGATCACTTCACCAGCACCACTTCTTCGTACACTATTCCCTAATCAATCCCCTACCACTTGTCAGTTTTTGTCAGCTTGTCACTGCCACTGCCACTGTTACACCATGATAATGATAAACGAAGGTGGTCGCAATTCGAGTTGACCCGCCATTTTAGAGACTAGTGATACGCACCGTGTGACGTCTACAGGATACAAAATGCGACCACCTCACAGTTTGTGCTGTGTTTGGCGCAATGTGTGAAGTATTCATGCATTCTTGTAGGCGCTAGGCGCTATCCGTTTCGCGCTGACCGCAATGACCGCACTGTGTTTGGTGCAATGCGAGAAGTATTCGTGCAGTCTTGTAGGCGCCAATAAGTGTTACATGCCGCACAGTGGAGTATTATACCCGAAAAGCTGGCGAAAAGTCAAAAAAAAAAAAAAATATGGTAAAAGCTTGGTAAAACAGGTAAATAATGATTCTCTGATATCTACTGCATGACATTGTGACAACAGAATCCGCTTATCACTACTGGATGGTCGAGGAAAATAGGGTAAACCCAGCGGTTTCGCGTGCATCTCAGCTCTAGTTCAGTATTGTTTACGTCCAGATTTCCAATCAAAGTGTGTATGCAGTGACAGGTACAAGCTACATCTGCAGGCTTATTGGCAGCCATTATTTATGGTAAGTAGTCCCTTTTTACATATATATTACTATAGTTAGAAATTTGATTGTCTGGCATGTATATGCTGTTGTCAAATCGTTCAGTAAAATGGGCATTTTCCATGAAGATGCTTAAATAAGATAGTTTCTTAATATGTGCCGGGCTGTGTCGGGCTGAAAATGAAGGATTTTCGTAAACTAGAACCCAACCGCAAGATTCTCCCGCAAAAATTTTTTACCCATATTCACCCTTTGAATTTCTGCGAATTTTTTAAATTGAGCTTTGTTTTCGAGCAAGAATCACGTACTTCCAAATTTTGGATCCTACATATTTCTCAGGTCAATAATGTGAGCCTCGGCATTTAATGGAAGTCTTATGACACTCCTGGAGTTCTTTGTATGTGATTCACA